TTATAATCTGTCTTAGATTAAGTCTTTGAATGTTATATTTATTTTCAAAAGCGTATGCTATTAATTAAAAGTAAAACCACTGTTATTTGCACGATGCACCGTTCCTTCCAAAGGTGATACCATTTTTATTACCTTAGTCATCATGCAGTAGAAAAAATCATTTTGTCGTTAAATTTTATAACAATGATTACACTATGAAAATGAAATTAAAATGAAATACGCCCGTATCAAGAAAAAAGTGTTTGACAGACTGAGGTAATTTCGGATCGGATCATTTTATACTAATTAGCGTTAACTTATCGGCATTTGTTTCAACTCAACTTTTATCTGTCAGAAATCTCAATGATTAAATAGTTGTTCATTGCTCTGGTTAAATCATATGTTTGTTACATGACAAAAGTCAGATAAGATCAAATCACTTGGTATTGCTTCTCAGTCGACATTTTATCGATGTTAATTCAGCAATTTTCTAAAATTGAGAGTAACTCGAGCTCTTCAATTCGTTTCATAGCTTTCTGCTGAATACAGAATACTAATTTATTACTGACATTGTCTTTTTTATTACGGAGATATTTTACAAGTGTGGTAATCGTGTTATTCATGTAAAAAAATGGTTTGTTTAAGAGTGAGACTAAAAAAAAGGATTGGATCACCACACTAAATACCGTATTCCGGTATATACCGGACAAGGCGCTTGAATGTTAAATTGCTAAAATCTTGCCTATAAACAAACGGAATGAACTTTTAAAGGTCTAATTCATCTTTTCACACCGATTTATGCATGGTAATGAATGAAAAATGCAAAAATCGGCGAAAAAAACGATATTTGTCCATTTTGTGATCATGATTTCTGCAAGCGTCTAGACGTACTGCTCCAATCCTGTATTGAGTTCAATCCTTTGTTTAAAAGTATAAAAGAAACACCAATGATGCATCAACTCCTCAAACCCTAAAAAATGAATTTCTTACATAAATCAGCTAGAGCAATGATCATAGAAAATTATGAAAAAGATAAAAAATATACTCAGGAATGAATGATAAATCGAATTTTTATGCTTTTATTTGTCAGTTTTGGGTGGTGCTTTTTTTGCAATAAGAATAATTACAAGAGAGTATTAAACAAAATATCTGGAATTTTGCACACAAGTTATTTATCTACGCCTACACCAAATGGAACATTAATCTCGAAAAATTATTACCGGTACCGTCATGTTAAAAAACCTCAGTGGAGTCACTTTACAACACATAACCATATTCAGACAATGAAATTGCAGGAATTTAGTGATAAATTCGATTGTTTTGTGTAAATACGTTTAAAATGTGGTTGGAACTTATTTTTCTTGCTACTCGATTGTTGTCAAAGGTTTAGGTATTATGTGCATCACTCCGGAAATAATGAGAGTGTTATTCAGGAAAAGATAATCGTGACACCATTACATTCACAAAATGTCAGCAAAGTTTATAATCGCGTTATTACTGGAATGATGTTTTGAACTGTACACTTCTTCGTGACTACATTTGGTTTATTTATGATCAGAGTTGTCCGAGCAATCCGCTACAAGTGCTACAGTAGAAAATAACTATAATTATGTAAAGTGTTCATACTATTTCAGACTTGTGCTTGTTTAAGGTAAAAATGGTTTGGGTTTTATGTCGGTATTTTACTGATGAAATTAGTCTGAGCCGTAGCATTAACAAGTCTAAAATTGTTAAACACGTATAACATTGTTGGAAATGTAATAAAACAAAATAGTAATCAATAAAGTGCATTCTGTACTAAAGGTTTATGAGATATTTTTTTCAGTTATTGGAATTAACGAAATTTCCTAGACGCTTCTCCTATGGTCAATATCCAGAATAATATTACGTACAAATTTGAAACCACAACTGTCGCATGAAATAAAACTGAAAGATATATTGCTGTCTCGGTTTGATAGAGCTTTTATGTGGACAACAGCGGTCTGCGTCCGCTACCCATAACACCCCCTCTAGTTCAAGCTTAAGCAGAATTCAACATTTTGATTATCGCAAATGACACATTTAGATATAAAAGAACATTTGTTGATGATGCAATTGATAATTTGACTTATTGTGTCACTTCATGCAAATTTTGTATTTGAAATCTTCAAAAAGATTTCAACGAACATGAAAGTTACAAGTAAAGATCTATACTTGTATATATTTCTCAACTCTGTTGGTGTTAAAAAATAAACCCAACCGACCCTCTTTACGAATAAAACATTTACATCCTAAAGCGTGACTCTCCATCTGAACTTTAATAAAGCAATCTTTGTTAATTTTATTGTTTATAAATTGAATTTTCTTCTTTAAATTTATCAATTTTCTGTTTCATAAACTGGTTTATACTCGTATATATGATATAATATATAATTTGATAATTTAAATACACATAATTATATTGTTCAATTTTCAGTCCGTTGACTGACACACAATGAAATTATCAAATCCGTTATATGACGTTATTTAGTATCATCGACAATTATATCTAACAACAATAAAAAATGTCATAACGTCTGTCTGCACAACCGCTCAATAATTCAAATTCAAACATGCAGAAATTTAATAAAAATAAATATATCAGCTACTTGACAGAAGTCATAAAAGTTAATATCATATTCTATTGCTTTGATATGACATTTAGTCGATGCTTATTCAACAATGTTGTACATCTGAGAGTAACATGAGCTCATCTGCCTTTCTAATATTTCTCTCTAATGAATACAAAATACCGATATATTACTAACACTGTCTATAATATTTAGGAAATATTTTTCCTAAGTGATGAGATCGTATTACTTCCATTAACATTTTGTCAGGTTTCGCATCCAATCCAGACATTATTGGCGGTATAAATAAAAACGCAGATAACGTTAATAAAAACGTAATAAATTTTGTCATATTAAGTGAGTACTGAAGTCTATAAATTATAACAAAGCAATTGTGTCTCGAAATGAATACTGTTATCTCCTATGTTGCTCGTATATATGAAAGGTAATAAAAATGTTCTTGTATCATAATTATGAAGACTAGATAGAAGAATAAGAAATGTCATATTCATTTTTCAAGAGAAATGTCATTATGATATAAATGATTCAACAATACACAATTTTCAACTATTCAAATATTATTAAATATATATGTAACAAAAAATGACAACCCCCATAAAAAACAAACAGTTATTAATTAATTATCTTTGAACAAAACAAATCTTTATGAAATAAAGTACAATTCAGCAAGCATTAGGTATTAACATTTACAAATTGTTCAAATTGTTCAGAACTTCTAAGAAAAAAATGGAAGCACAATGTATTTATTTTAAACCTTTTCAAAATTTTCCTAAATCACCAAACTAAATGTTCAGGTTAATTTAGAAAGGATTTTTTACGCTTAAGAATGAATATGGCACTAAATAAAGAATGTGCAGTTACAAATATTTTCCAAAGACACACGTGAATATTAATATGGAATATTTAAGATATGTTCTTAGATAAGTCCTACTGTCCTTCTTAAATAATACCGAACAATCAATGATATAAACGACATAATAATAATAAAAAAAAAAAAAAAAAAAAAAAAAAAAAAAAAAAAAAACGAAATTCTTATACATTTATTTCTGATCTCACTAAATTATATGGAACAAGATAGATTAGGACCTTACCATGATATTCATTAAAGTTAATAAGCCGGCATTTGCTTTAACTAGTAAATAAATACTCATGATGAATTGTTTCCTTTCGCCATTGTCGTTGCAGTGGCAAAATTAAGTAAATAGTATATGACTAATGAAATAAAAAAGGGTTTAGTTTAATATTCAGACAAAACGAAAGTATATAGTACATTATGACCGGCTTTTGTTATGGTTGACAAAAATATTTTGAATTAACATAAATACTTTTGTCAATATATTTTGACAATAACCATTGCTTAATAATCCGACTGCAAGATGGGGATGGCCATGGTGATATTGAAGACCTGTTGTCATGTGGCGAAAGTGAGATTGGTGTGGGGGCATGATTTGATGGTTTTGATACTGATCAGGGGATATTACAAGTTCATGGTGGTAATAAGGGATGACAGGGTTGAGTGATTGAGGGTTGGGTTTGTTGATAATGAAATGGCGCAGCAGCATTATCATGTGCTGGCACTTGAGCATAGTGAAATGGCAATGTTGTTGCAAAATGCGGTTGAACAGGTTGAAAACTGGGCGTTTCTGACACTTTGGGCTGTGGAGGTGCTTGTGTTGTATCATTATCATTTATTTTATCTGACGTTGTCTTAATTCCATGAACAATTGCATGTGAATAAAGTTCGGACTGTTCCATGTTCATTTCAGCATAATTATTCAAAGAATTTATGCTTTTATGCCCAGATATTTGGATCTGATGTTGTGGGGGAATGTTCTAGTCATTCATGTTTTGTAGAAGACGTTTTCTTGCGCTGAAAAAAAACTTTATGCTTGTATTGTAATTTTAAGTCATGTTTATCATTTGAAGACAAGCACATATAGATAAACGTCGTTGAAACAAAACTCAAATTAAAGCATTTCTTTACTGAAGTAAATATAACACTTATTTTCTATATTTGCAGGAGCTGAAACAGTTCAGGCCATTTGATCATATTTAATTTTTACAACAGCATTGTGAAGATATTATTAACTCAAACCATGCAAAATTTGGATTGTTTAGATCTACTGCTTCAGCTTAAAATTGTTCAATAAACTCGTTAAGTGCCACAAGAACTAGAAATAATATTGATGTAAAAATGACAAAAAAAAATGTGATATAAAAATTCATTTTGTGTAAGTTAAGAGTTTTTATTCAAATGCAGTGAAATTGTGTCAAAGTGTAAAACTTCATGGAATACAAAAAAGTTGGAATTGCAATTCAACAACAATGACATATGTTAATATGGCAAAAGAACATGGATGTACAGATACTTAGATGGCTTGTGATACATGTAAGTCATAGGTCGTATTCGATTGGGCATTTTCGTAAAGCACTCCTGTATCGTTGAGCATATTTTTTGTTCGATTGGTACACATGAATTTTTGCGTTGAGCACAACTTCTTCATAAAGAACACGCTAAAAATCAAGCGTTAACCTTGTCACGTGACCAAAAGGAATATGGCGGGTGTTTTGCCAAAGAAACATGGGACAGGGTAATTTTTGTTCCTTTAGTTGATTTGAATGTGTAAAAAAGCTTTCCTGCGGATACAGTTTACTGTCAATAGTGTCATAGAGGTTTAACCCGTTCTACTGTAAAAATAAGTTGTAATTACTGCAGGAGAAGATAAAATCCATGTACAAAATCGTACCAAGTAGATTCGTACCCAGTATTTCTTCAAGCTTGCTAAAATTTTAAGCTAGATGTTACAGTGCTGCTTCAATCTTTCAAACTATATACATGTACTGTAGTGTTTCTTCCAGCCCCAATTTTTTCAATTTTTTGTGTGATCATTTTTGACCCTTATGGTAGATTTTAGGGGGCATTGGAATTTTTTGAGGGTCGTGTGACCTGGAGCAGGGCTCACGCTGTCGGTCGCCATAGTCGCCATTTGCGATTATTTTATAAGATTGGCGACTATTTTTGCATTTTGGCTACAAAATCTGGCGATTATTTTTTACTTCCAACAGTGTTTATATAAGGTGTAAAAATCGATAAAGAATGCAGTAGACCCAATTAACACCAGCGGGGTGGATTTAATTGAGTGTCAACTTTAAAGCGGTCACGCGCTGCTTTCTATATTGCCCGAGGTGATAAAAATACATGCAAGATGTAAAATTGTATAATTGCTCGCCCATATGGTCTCTCTCCGGTGGCGAGGGTAAACAAACCCAAACACACACAAAATTGTATAAGTACTTTAAAGATATTGTCCAGCATTATAATAGCCATCAAATGTCCGTCAATTAGCCACAAAAATTGTCTAAAAAATTGATAAACGAGATATTGACCAACCCAAAATTTACCGTAAATTGCAGTAATTGCAAATTTTGATTTTTTTGTTTTAAGCTGCTTGACTAAATCGCCAGTGGAAAACAATGATAAAATATTTAAAAGGTATTAACTTCCAAATAACTATTTGCACAACAACCAAAATTGTGAATATTTCTTCAGAAAACAGGAAAATATCCGATTGTCACATATTTTCGCGACGCCGATAATTTGATATTTATTTAAAGGTGAAAATAAGCTATGTTCTGTTTAAAAATCTTAACTATTATGGCAGAAAATTTGTATTATATTGGTGATGATGACATTTTTCAGTAAGTAATTTTGAAAAAAAGGCTGCATTCTGTGAATGAGTTTGCAAGTGGAGTAAACACCAATACAGTTCAACATATTTTAACTGCATTTAAAGATAAAAAGGAAAAATGAATATGCCGTAAAATATTTACTCTTATTATTTTTTCATAACATCAAAAGACAAAATAATAATAAATCCTAAAACTCAACAGTTTCATTCTGGATAAAATTAAATGCCAGAAATATTAGCCTCTTCCACTAGAATTAATTCAACCATTGATAGATTAAATGGGGAAAACATGTTGCATAAAATCATCCATAGGTTCTCCATAAATGGTAAAATTTTTAAAGAAGTTACTCTAGTTTGCTTCTATTACACCTGTCACTACATTACACCAGCGAGTTTGTAATTATTAACACGGTTGCATCATGCATATCATAGTAGAAACTACGTCACTTGGTTACCTGTATATATGTGTAATCGAGACAGGGTTGTGTAGAGTTATGAAAATGGGGTGATTAAAGGAGGACATACTGGACAATAATTGGAATTACTTATTTTGCTCCCTAGGTGTTTGAAAGGGTATATTTTTCTGAAAAATGGACAATTAAAAGGTGTGAAAGTCGTTAAAAACAGAGCAAAGTCGTTAAAAACAGAGCAGTGCATGATTGCCACAAACTTTAAATTTGCAAACCATAAACTTTACGAATAAATTTCTGCGTCACAAAAAATGCACTGATTGAATTCATTGCGTCATGACAGAAAAAAATGCGTCAAAAACGTGCTCTGGAAGAAACATTATTTAATATTGTATGATGTAAATAATGTTTATTTAATGAAAATAGGACGACACTAATTATATTTTTCCATGATTTGAAAATTTGTTGAATTACCTGCAAGTTAATAATAGCTCATTCTGCATTTTCAGTTACTGGCAGACTGTTACACTGCAATATGCAGATGGGTTTAAGATGAATGTTACACTTGACATACCAACTATTGAAAAGCTAGAGAATGGGGGTAGGTAGAAAGTTCAGATTTACTATAATATGTCAATTTGTCAGTACCAGTTGCTGAACTTGGTTGCAAGTGATTTGAGAAGAAGGACTTGCTTCTGAACTATTGATTTAGAAATATATATATATATAAATATTAAAACGTGATGAATGTTCCTTGTGCAGTGTTGAAATATATAAAATTATAATGTTTAAGAAATAACAAACTCTATATGTAAAATCGGTAGCGCTTTCAATGCTTTCTTTGCATATCTTCAGCAGAAACTTTAATAAACATAAAAACAAATGACGTAACGTCATGAAAAAAAGCGGGAACGTTAAATGATAACGTATTTCCCGGCAAACACAATATGGTTATTTATACTGAAAAATAGAGAATACGGACATTGAGCATAATCCGTACAATCTGGCAGTGAATAAATGACATTTATTAAAGGGAGGTAATAAAATTCACAAGTTAATGATTTTATGGCCACAAATTGTATGGTAATTAACAAGTTTTACTCAATAAATATTGCTAAATAAACGAACAATTGGACTGAATAAAATCGCAATCATTTCTTTCATAATTAAAAATGAAGAGATTGTAAATAAATATGAAGTACTTGTATTATATACCTTGTTAAATGACTTTTAACAATGAGCATTTAGCTGTGGTTTTAATAACTTGATTAAAGTTTTTCTTTTTCTTCTCTAAAATTATCACTTTCGATTAATATCTTATATAGAGGGAAAATGCTAAATTTACCTCCTGAACAATTATGTAAATGTTTATTTACTTGTAACATTCTGAGTTCTTCAGTGTTTGTTTGTTGCCTATGTAAAGTCATACGTTTACATAATTCATTTTTTGTTTGGCCAATATAAAACTGTTTACAGTTGTCACAAATTATTGAATATATCACATTTTTTGAAACACAGTTCATACTTTTTTTTATCTTAAATGTCTTACTGTTACAAAATTGTATTTCATTTCCTTCTATTAGAGAAGGACATGTCTTACACCTACTCCTGTTGCATTTAGAAACTGTTGTTACAGTATTATTTGTCATGTCGAACTTTGAAGAGGTTAAGATGTTTTGAAGATTTTTTTGCTTGTCTTTTACTGTTTATAATGCGCTTCTTTTCTAAAACACTGTTCGTCTTTTCACTTTTTCGTAACACATTCTCACAAGATCGAATTGCTTGGGAAATATTGGTATTTTTGGGATTAAATGTTGTTACACATGGGATAAACGTTGTACTTGTTGTTAGCTGTTATGTTTTCTTCAGTTTTGATGGGACCTTTCAATTTGGCTTTAGATATTCCGTATGTAATAATTTCATCTGGGTAATTCTGATTTTTAAGTCTTGTAGTTAGTTCTGAGAGGCGCTTTTCTTGCAGTGTTTCTCCTCTTACTATAGTTATGATTCTTGACGCAAGGTTGAAAGGAATGTTTAACTTTGTATGTTTCGGATGACACGATTTAAAGTTGAGGTAGTTGTATGTGTCCGTCGGTTTACTGTATAATCTTTTGTTATATGTGTTCCAGATTTCATAACTAATACATCTAAAAATGGCATGCTCGTTTCACTTTTATTCATCGTAAATTGAATACAGGGGTGTAAATTGTTTATTTCTCTTAATAAATCATCTGTGTTGATATTTTTCCCGACTATTAAAAAAACAATCATCCAAAAATCTCTTCCAGTTCATTTAATGTAGTTTGAAAGTCGTTTCCATGTATTGTTGATAGTCTTTCGTAGAATGTTTTCTCTAGATATCCAAGTACCAAAAGTAGCATACGTTGGGGCACTTTAGTACCCATAGCTGTTCCTTTATTCTGGATATAATATTTGCCGTCAAAATAAAATACGTTATTCTTTAGGATAAGTTGCAGTGATTTCAATATAAATTGGTGTTGGAATCTTGTATCTATTTTATCGGGAAAATTTTCTATCCAGAGTTGAATTGCCTGTAAGCCCAGATCATGTGGAATGTTTGTATACAAATTTACGACATCAAAGGTAACTAAAATGGAATCTTCTTCTACATTTTCCGGCAAGTAATTCAGGAAATCTAAGTCATCTCTAATGAAACTTGGAACTTGTCTGCATAATGGTTTTAATATGAGGTCTAAAAAGTGGCTAAGTCTCTGTGTAACACTGTTTAGGTCCCCCTACAATAGGCCTAAACTTTAAATCATCTGGTGCAGAAACTTTAATGTATTCAGATTTATTATTATTAATTGCCTCTTCAATTTTCCTACTTTTGTGAATTTTAGGTAATCCATAAAAAAAGCTGGTTGAACTTTCAAAATTAGTCAAATATGTAGATTCCTCCTTTACCAATCCTTTACCGTGTTTATTTACAATATCATTTAATTCTTTCCGTGTCCTTAAATCTGCGTTTGTATCTGTCTCTGAATAGTAACTTTCATCACTCAACATTTTCAAAATGTGATCTCTATAGTAGTTATTGTCCATACAAACTACAGCACCGCCTTTATCTGCTTCTTTTATGATTAATGATTTTTTTGATAATATACTTTTCAATGCTGATCTATCTTTCTTCATTAAATTTAAAATTAGAATGAACATCAGATTTATTTTCAAGTGGGATTTCCTTTAATGATTCAATGGCCTCTTCTAAAAAGATATCTTTACTTTTAGGAGGTTTCCATCCAGTTTTATTTCGTACTAAGGGTATATCGTTTCTACCATTATCTTTATCATCTTCATGGAAAAACTCACTAAGCCATAATCTTCGACAAAATTCTTTTATATCAGTTTGTAATTCTGTTTTATTTTCCATTGGAGTAGGAGTAAACTTAAGCCCCTTGCTAAGTAATTTTACTTCACTTTCTGATAATTCTATAGTGGAAGAAAGATTTATTACCTTTGGGTGTATTTCTGAGCTTTTAGTAGTATCTATGTTATTTAAAATAGATCCATGGTTTACATCACTTCCTTCCGAAACGTTTCTTCGCTGTTCAAAAGTTTGTTTACATTTGCATTCCCTCCTCCATCTTTGACGAATGGAGTTGGTCCTTAAAAAGACTTCCTTGCATTTTTTCCAATATACGTTGTTCCATTTTCTGTATAAGGTCTTGATGGTAGATTTTGACGGTTATTGTATCGATATTGATATCCATTTGTTTCATTTCCTCTATTATAATGACCATATCCCCTCTGAGTGTTGTTTCTTCTGCCATCATTGTAGCTATTAAATTGTTTATATCTTCTTTCGTGGGCCTTCACTGCTGAACTAGTATTTATTGATCTATTTGTATTCTCAACTCCAGAAAAAGAGCACACGGCAAACACTAGAACAATTATGGAAACGCACATCCGAAATAAAACTGGATGGAAACCTCCTAAAAGTAAAGATATCTTTTTAGAAGAGGCCATTGAATCATTAAAGGAAATCCCACTTGAAAATAAATCTGATGTTCATTCTAATTTTAAATTTAATGAAGAAAGATAGATCAGCATTGAAAAGTATATTATCAAAAAAATCATTAATCATAAAAGAAGCAGATAAAGGCGGTGCTGTAGTTTGTATGGACAATAACTACTATAGAGATCACATTTTGAAAATGTTGAGTGATGAAAGTTACTATTCAGAGACAGATATAAACGCAGATTTAAGGACACAGAAAGAATTAAATGATATTGTAAATAAACACGGTAAAGGATTGGTAAAGGAGGAATCTACATATTTGACTAATTTTGAAAGTTCAACCAGCTTTTTTTATGGATTACCTAAAATTCACAAAAGTAGGAAAATTGAAGAGGCAATTAATAATAATAAATCTGAATACATTAAAGTTTCTGCACCAGATGATTTAAAGTTTAGGCCTATTGTAGGGGGACCTAACAGTGTTACACAGAGACTTAGCCACTTTCTAGACCTCATATTAAAACCATTATGCAGACAAGTTCCAAGTTTCATTAGAGATGACTTAGATTTCCTGAATTACTTGCCGGAAAATGTAGAAGAAGATTCCATTTTAGTTACCTTTGATGTCGTAAATTTGTATACAAACATTCCACATGATCTGGGCTTACAGGCAATTCAACACTGGATAGAAAATTTTCCCGATATAAAATGGATACAAGATTCCAACACCAATTTATATTGAAATCACTGCAACTTATCCTAAAGAATAACGTATTTTATTTTGACGGCAAATATTATATCCAGAATAAAGGAACAGCTATGGGTACTAAAGTCGCCCCAACGTATGCTACTTTGGTACTTGGATATCTAGAGAAAACATTCTACGAAAGAATATCAACAATACATGGAAACGACTTTTCAAACTACATTAAAATGAACTGGAAGAGATTTTTGGATGATTGTTTTTTTAATAGTCGGGAAAAATATCAACACAGATGATTTATTAAGAGAAATAAACAATTTACACCCTGTATTCAATTTACGATGAATAAAAGTGAAACGAGCATGCCATTTTTAGATGTATTAGTTATGAAATCTGGAACACATATAACAACAGATATCTACAGTAAACCGACGGACACATACAACTACCTCAGCTTTAAATCGTGTCATCCGAAACATACAAAGTTAAACATTCCTTTCAACCTTGCGTCAAGAATCATAACTATAGTAAGAGGAGATACACTGCAAGAAAAGCGCCTCTCAGAACTAACTACAAGACTTAAAAATCAGAATTACCCAGATGAAATTATTACATACGGAATATCTAAAGCCAAATTGAAAGGTCCCATCAAAACTGAAGAAAACATAACAGCTAACAACAAGTACAACGTTATCCCATGTGTAACAACATTTAATCCCAAAAATACCAATATTTCCCAAGCAATTCGATCTTGTGAGAATGTGTTACGAAAAAGTGAAAAGATGAACAGTGTTTTAGAAAAGAAGCGCATTATAAACAGTAAAAGACAAGCAAAAAATCTTCAAAACATCTTAACCTCTTCAAAGTTCGACATGACAAATAATACTGTAACAACAGTTTCTAAATGCAACAGGAGTAGGTGTAAGACATGTCCTTCTCTAATAGAAGGAAATGAAATACAATTTTGTAACAGTAAGACATTTAAGATAAAACAAAGTATGAACTGTGTTTCAAAAAATGTGAAATATTCAATAATTTGTGACAACTGTAAACAGTTTTATATTGGCCAAACAAAAAATGAATTCACTGCCAGATTGTACGGATTATGCTCAATGTCCGTATTCTCTATTTTTCAGTATAAATAACCATATTGTGTTTGCCGGGAAATACGTTATCATTTAACGTTCCCGCTTTTTTTCATGACGTTACGTCATTTGTTTATATGTTTATTAAAGTTTCGGCTGAAGATATGCAAAGAAAGCATTGAAAGCGCTACCGATTTTACATATAGAGTTTGTTATTTCTTAAACATTATAATTTTTATATATATATAAATATATATATATATATATATATATATATATATATATATTATATATCAGGGATATGCCTCTACTTCTGCCAAAGTGTTGGTTGAAACATGTGATAAAAGTGACTGTGGGAAGGCAGCTGAGGGTCCTAATCACTGAAACAAACATTCTTTAATTATAATTTTGGGTATAAAAGTATGACTTGGTCTGCCTATGCACATGTTTTACTTTGAAATGCTGCAAATTTGTATTTGAGACCTTTAAAAATTTAGTTCTGATACATGAGATTACCTGTTCAGAGAAGTGGTAGCATTTATTTAGAAGAAGTTTGTGATGTTACCTATTCAAAAAGGTAACAGGTGATATCAGTTATCACTATAATATTCAGTTACAAGCTGCACCCTTTAAGATAATTCCCTGTTTTTTTTGTGAGTGTCATTCTGAAGCCAGGTTTTCAATGAATTGCCAATTTGTAGTATTACAATGATACCAGTCCACTTACTACAATAGCTGTATCAAGAAAAATAAAATATATGATTTCAGCAATTCAGATTTGTTATTATATCACTCATTCAAACAGGTGGTTTCACAAAAGCACAATTTTATTGGTGTCTCTTAAACTTCGGTTTCAATTTGTTTAACAATTACACACTTTTTAAAACAAATGCGATGATATTTTAAGAAGCTGACATTTGATTATTTTTCAGATAATGAACTTATGGAAAAAATAAGAACCATAGCTAAGTCAGCAGGTACAGATATTGCAATTCCAGGTTGGTACTTTTGTAATAACATATGATACTGGTTAAAGCCAAGGATTTTAAGCTGATTCTCATCATTGCTTCCAATGTAGTAGGTAAAATAGGCAGTCATAAAATTTCAAGATAGAGGCATTAGTTTGTCTTTGTACTGTAAAGGTTCAATAACTTATATTGATACTATGTGCAGTATATGACTGTTATTTCTTGGGACTTTGTAGCATTCCTTTAAATGAAATAAAAGGAAAGGCCGATTAGATAAGAGGTTTATGTGCCACAATATTAATGCTTAAAACTGCTGATACTTGTGTATATTGAGTTAAAGAAGCCTCTTCTTCAGTATGACTACCTGTTGGGAAAAATAACACAATGCCATCAGTACCAAATTTAAAATTAAGTAAGAATATAACAGATAACCTTTTTATTGTAAAAAGATCATCTAACTAATCAAAACAGAAGGTCTACTATAGAAGAAACTATTTTGATGCTTATTCAAAGTTATAGATTAAATGATTGTAGTAATGCTGTAGTTGTTTGTTAGGTCTTCAGCTTGGATTTAGTGAACAAATCAGTTAGGTTTGTGGAACCGAAGTTTTTGAAGATATTATGCTACTGATTAAAAAATAGCTTTTCATCGGTTTACTTTGCTCTTAATTCTGCATTAACTTTTGCTTTCAGGTCATTTAAGGTTGTTATCAACAACAAGTGTCATGGCAGAAGAGGAAATGGATAATAGCAGTAAGTGTGTTGTCTGAATGTTTATAAATATCTGTACACGAGGTGTTAAGTCTGGTGGCAGCTGTAAAATGCGTGGTTTGGGTATTCTTTTGGGATATCATATTGATGCTATGTTCTGTATTTGTCTCACACATGGCTAGTTAGGTGCTTCCACAAAATCTGTGTAGCTCTGGAATTGTCTTTGTACCCTTACAGTATTAAAGACCCTGTCTCTCATTTTTTGTTATAAAATGATACAACTGACATCCATTTGAAGGGTAATCACCTATTGCTTAAAAACATGAAATTAATATTTGTGGAGCTATAAATTTAAAATACAAAATGATGTAATTATGTTCTTATATTGACTTTCTAAATTATGTGATATATAATTTTAGTGAAAGAAAAGTTTTATAACATCTACAAAGAAACATAGTTGTTTAAAAGCAATTCATTCATATAAAACTTATTTAAGTTCATTTGTATATAGAGGCTGCAGCAGGCAAAATACCAAGTGGGAGAGAAACTTAAATATATTAATAAAGCAGGTGGGAAGTGCCTTACTTCTTCCTGTGAATCTGTGTGGCTTTTGAATAGTCTGTTCATCCCTACAGTATTTAATTAATCTTATTTGTGCATTTACTTTTGTTTCCAGGCCATTCAGAGTCTGTACCAACCACAAGTGTCATGGTTGAAGCAGAAATCGATAAAAGCAGTAAGTTTTTGTCTGAATAAATAAACTTTATAGTCAGGAAAATAATGATGAAAACTACGGTTAAAAAAATTATGTACTCTTTTACCTTTTCCCCACACGACTGTTCACACTTAACACTGCTCACTGTAAATATACATGAGCAGTCAAACTTTGTTTGCTTGAACTGGGAGCGTGTGATGGCGGTGTCATGAAAATATGTTTGACCTTACAACAGTTTGAGATATCGAATTACTTCTTTTAGACTTTTGTTTATTTTACATTACTGTTAAATAGAGGTCTATGAAAAAAGATTGAGCATTATTGTTATAGGTGTAAAAAGTACAATATATCATACCTTTAACTGATATTTTATAAGAAGGTGAAGACTGTGCACAAGTAGATAATTAACTGTCTTTAATTTATGTAATCAGTTTGTTCAGTTGAAACAGTATGAAATACTTTATTTAATGTCCGATGGAATCCCTAATTAATTTTGAAAGTAAGATATTTTTGTACTTGAGTTTTTGAGTTGGAAAAGTATACATGACATAGAAATTTTGCTGGGATCAGAACTAAACCTCGACAATGGAAATGTATATGGTTTGGTTTTACACTCATTATCTTTTTACCTGTAATGTAACATAGATGTTACTTATGGGCAATTATACATTGAAGCCATCAGCTACTTTCTTGAATCTGTGTATAAAAATTACAATGAAAACTTTTAAGTGATTTATGACCTTTTGCCTGATAAAACATGATGCCTAAATGTTTATAATGTCCGTTGGACAGTAGATTTATAAGGAAAACATACCACCTATATTTTGTACACTTTTAGGTTCTTCAGAGGAGTTAAGTTACATGCATTGGCCAAGAGAAGCAGTTCTCTTACTCATTTCCTTATACAAGGAGTTTGAAGAAGTGCTAGAGGACCCAAAGCAGCGGAAAAAAGATATATGGAAAATAATAACTGATAAAATGACAGAAAATGGTTATAATTTCACACAAAATAAAGTAGAAAGTAAATGGAGAAGCTTATTGCAGTCTCACAAAGATATCAGGGTAAACAATGCAAGTAGTGGTAAGAAACGTAAAACATTTCAATATTATGAGGAAATAGAAGAAATTGTTGCCAAGAGGCATGATATATACCCAATGGTGAAAGCAGGCTCAGATATTCCATGTGAAATTAGCAAGTGTTACAGCACAAAGTCAACAGATTCTTCACCTGAATCCCTGCACTCTGATGCATCAGAACTAAAATTTCCAGAACTCACTAAGTCTGTGGATAATGGTCCTACTGAAACAAGCAGAAATAAAGGCAAGGAAGCAAGAACAAGGAATGTGAAAAAGCAACAGGAAGAAGATACAGGTCAGCAAGTACTACAGTTTCTCAAAGAGAGTGAAAGCAGGCGAAGACAAGAGAGTGAAGCTCGAGAGAGTAAAAGGGATGAAAGGGCAAAGGAAAGGAATGAGATTTTAAAACAAATATTAGATGTTCTCAGATGACATTCAGAAAATTATTGATACCATACAGGCTTTTTGTGTCGCCTTGAAAAGGTGACATATAGGGGTTACTTTTGTCGTCGGCGTCGTTGTCGGCGTCCCCTAAAGCTTGTCCGGAGCATAATTCAGTCACTATAAGTCTGATTGACTTTAAACTTGGTATGCATGCTTCTTTCAATAACCCGAAGTGCAGTGCTCAAAGACCGGTACTCTGCAGTTCTTATTTTTTGAGTTATTGCCCTTTGTTAATTTTCATACTTTAATTGTGTCCGGGTCATTTCTCTTCAACTAAAAAAGCTATGGACTTGAAACTTTATAGGATGATATATCTCATTTAGTAGAAGTGCAGTGCACAAGAACCAGTACTCTGCACTTCCTAATTCTTGAGTTATTGACCTTTGTTAATTTTCATACTTTATTTTTGTCCGGGCCATTTCTCCTAATGTATAAAAGCCATGGACTTGAAACTTCATAGGATGATAGGTCTCATTAAGAAGAAGTGCAGTGCACAAGAACTGGTACTCTGCATTTCTTATTTTTTGAGTTATTGCCCATTGTTTATTTTCATACTTTAATTTTGTCCGGGCCATTTCTCCTTAAGTATAAAAGCTATGGACTTGAAACTTCATAGGATGATAAATCTCATTATTAAGAAGTGCAGTGCACAAGAACTTGTACTCTGCACTTCATGATTTTTAGTTATTGCCCTTTGTTAATTTTCATACTTATATAGGCTTGCCACTAAAGTTAAAGGTACATGTACATTGCAAGAGCAGTGTTTATAAATAACCTATGTTTTAGAAGAAAATGCCTAACTGACAGCTATACTGTTGACAAGGCGACACATCCGACTCACGGAGTTCTAGTTGATGTTGATTTTACTTCCAGGGTGTGAACTGCTTTATCTGCCAAAAGAAATCTTGTGGAAAATCATATCATATGTCCAGGCTGTAGATGAAAATTGCAGGTTGTATGCTGTAAATAAAACTTTTAAAGATTTTGTGTATATGAACAGATTGAACTTTAGAGTGCATGCAAACATTTTGAGGGCTAAGCCAGACCTACCGATAAGTATGCCTAGGTTGAAAAAACTTACAGTGCATGGATGTTCATTTGAATGGGATGATGGGATACTTGAATGTTTGAAGAATGCAGATCTAAAAGAATTAAATCACATCACTTTGAAAAACAGTACTTTCAAGGATCATTTTGTAGACCTTATTGATGTATTGAGTTTCTATAAACTTGCAATGTATTAACTGTGAGAACATATCAGTACAAGAACTAAAATGTACTCTTTCAAAATTGCCGTTTTTAAAATGCTGCGATGTTGCTGTTGACATAAATGCATTAAACAGTATGACTGAGTTTGCAGAATTGGCAAACAAATTAGTAGGGATTGTAAATATGTGTGTGAATACATTAGATAAGATCCCGTCAGACATGCTCTCTTTCACAAGAAGTTCCCACCGTGCCAGGTTTCCAACAGGTCAGAAGGAAGCTTACTTCAAATAGTGTATTGTTTATATCTCTAAAATGTTGCCTATGTATTTTTTCTTTAAATTTGTTAAATTTTCACAAAGTTTATAATACTGTTTGTAAGTCAAACAGATTGAAACCAGACAAGATCCCAAGTCACTTGGTGTCTGGTCTGGTTCCAAGCTGTTTGCAAAGATTGCTTCTTAGTTAAGAATCACAGGGTACAGATATAATTTGTTATGTAATTTAAGGGTCTCCACGATTACCTTATCAAGTAGGAATACTTGATTTGTACAGAAAAGTTAAAAATTTGCACATACAGAATATTGCTAGTTATAGTTATATTTATCTTTATTTTTATGCTTTTTAATTGGAAGTGATCCAGTTATTTGTTATTATTGAACCACTTTTGTTTGTTGTTATAAGTTCGAAAGATTTGTTTGATTTGTTTGTTACAATAACTTTTGCCAGTATTTTAATAAATGTGATATTTTAGTTTTTGGTACAAATCCTGTATTTTTAAGTTTTATCTTTTGTTATCAGAACCATTTGGGAAATGCAATAAAAGAACATTAATACAACTGTATTCTTTGTTTTATTTTGACATGTTAACAAAGCGTTGTTCTAAGAATTTAAATATGCATATGCAATATATATAACCTTTGCTTCTTCTTCTTGTTTTTGGTGGGGAGAAGGGGTAATAAAAGTTATTATGCAACAGCCATTTTAAAATGAAATACATTCATGGCCAAGATTTCAAAATTCAAATAGTCTATAAAAATCAAATTATTTTTATAGACTATCAAAACACGATAGTACCAGTTACTGCAACCTGATGGTACCAGTTACTGCAACTATAAAATAACATTTCAAAGAAAATTCCGTGCAATAGTGATTCGTTTCAGAGCTGCAGATTCTTGATCATGGTCATCAAAGTTAAGTCTATTAGGCATATCAGGCACTTGGTCCTCTTGATCTGACAATTGAATTTCAAATTCATCATCATTAACAAGACAAATAGTGTGTAACACACAAGATGTAATAATAGTATTAAATATAGTTTTTATGTCTCTTTGATAGATGTTTTGTAATCTTGTAAATCTTCCCTTTAGCAAACCAAATGCACGCTCAACTTTTCTGCGGATACTAGAATGGACAGTATTATAAGTTTTCTGGGCTTCTGTCAGGTGGCCATTGTCCCGAAAGGGCGTTAATAGCCAGGGCAGGTTTGGAAAGCCTGAATCTCCTAAAATGTGTCCTTCTCTGCACTTACTACGTCTAGTTTCATACAGAGGGGATTCTTTCAAAACTCGCGCATCATGCACTTTTTCAGGAAATCCTGCAAAAACATGCACAAATCTCATATCTTCCCTGACAACAGCTTGCAAAACTACAGAATAAAAAAATTTCCGGTTATAATAGTCTATGCCCCTCACTGCAGGTCTGTGGATTTTAATGTGTGTTGCATCAATCATACCTACAACACCTGGGAAACCTTTCAAATCATTGTACATGGCCTCAATTTCATCCATTTCATCATCAGAAGGCCAGACAATCATTTTTTGTACTAAATTTTCTTTCACAAACTGTTACAAATTTCGTATTGCACATGATGCTGTACTCTCACTGACACCAAATCTGTCTGCTATGGCTGCGTACTTGTCTAAACTGGCCAAATACCAAAGAAGCATTAAAAGTCTATCTTCTAAAGATATCTGTACACGACCACCTGTGGAATGACGACAAAGTATTCCAGAAATGTTTTTTGTGCAACAAACTTCAGTAATGTGGTCTTGAAGCTTTTGAACACTTACTCGGCTTACTCTGAAGAAAGTTTTAAATTCATCTATTGTGAATGCAGACACTACATTCTCAGTATAGTTTATTTGTCTGTGGCGATCACCTGGTCCTTTCTTTCTGAAAATATAAACAATTTTTCCATTAATCGGAATAAACAGACTTTGGGTTAAAGAATAATTTGGGCAAACTTTCATCTTTAATCACTAGAAGTATCTGATCAAATAGACTGTTTTTCGTTTCTACACATTTAATTTTACTGATAATTTAAGATCTTGAACCTTTTAAACAAGATCACGGCTACTGCTGAGTCACTTTCATCCCGCTCTCGGCACTCTCCTCTTCGTCGGTGCTTTCCAGTAACGAAGAAACAAGCAAAGTAAGTCTTTTTCTTTTGTTGTTGTCCATTTTGCCATAAACCGGAAGATGTTATCATCCGTAAAGCACATACCCGAATGTTTCCATTCGATTGGGACATTTTCGTTGAGCACAATTCACTCTGTGCGCATTGTGTGCGGAGCCTCGAAGTGATTCAAGGAGACTTCCCAATCGAATACGACCATAGACTTTTTTATGATATATAAAGTTTAAATTTTGATTGTTGTCGGAATTTATTCATACCTGTATGGCTTGACTTTGGATGCTTCAATACTTGCGGAAGTTTTTATTTGCTTCATGATATGTTAAATTTGGTTAATTCCATTGCAATTCTCTGGTACCATGCCTGACCCTCGGTTGGTCTCTCATTTGCCACTGCTTATGGCCTTTTCATGTGCCAAGAAGACCCTCTCAAGTTGTACAAAATCGAATTCGCATTGGAATTGGTCCAATGGCTTTTGAACGATAGGTTCGTAAAATTGATGTTGTTTTTAAAAAATGTATATAGATTAAGAGCAAATCGAGGGGGCAAAAAATGACCAAGCCACGCGGAAATCTTCCAGACATATTACTTTGGTTAGGGCTTAAGGCCTTTTCACGTGCAAAGAAGACCCTCTCAAGTTGTACAAAATCAAATTTGCATTGGAATTGGTCCAATGGCTACTGAACGGTAGGCTTGTAAAATTGATGTTTTTTTTTAAGTAAAGAACAAATCGATGATGCAAAAAATGACCAAGCCACGCGGAAATCGCGAATTTGCAACGGCATTGATTAAATAGTTTTCGAATGGTAGGCCCGTTAATATGATGTTTTTCCGAAATTTACATAGAGGAAAAACAAATCGAGGGTGCCAAAAATAACCAAGCCACACGGAAATCTCCTGGAAATATTACTTAAGTTAGGGCTTAAGGCCTTTTCATGTGCAAAGAAGACCCTCCTCTCAAGTTATACAAAATAGAAATTGCATTGGAATTGGTCAAATGGCTTTTGAACGGTCGGCTCGTAAAATTGATGGTTTTTTTTTTAAATTTATAAAGAGAAAGAACAAATCGAGAGTCAAAAATGACCAAGCCACGCGGAAATCTCCTAGACATTTTACTTTGGTTAGGGCTTAAGGCCTTTTCATGTGCAAAGAAGATCTTCTCAAGTTGTACAAAATCGAATTTGCATTGGAATTGGTCCAATGGCTACTGAACGGTAGGCTCGTAAAATTGATGTTTTTTTGAAAAATGTATATAGATAAAGAACAAATCGAGGATGCAAAAAAATGACCAAGCCACGCGGAAATCTCCTGGACATATTACTTGGGTTAGGGCTTAAGGCCTTTTCATGTGCAAAGAAGACCCTCTCAAGTTGTACAAAATCAAGTTTGCAAAGGCATTGATTAGATAGTTTTCGAATGGTAGGCCCGTTAATATGATGTTTTCCCCGAAATTTACATAGAGGAAGAACAAATCGAGGTTGCCAAAAATGACCAAGCCACGCGGAAATCTCCTGGAAAGATTACTTAAGGTAGACCTTTTCAACAGTTTTCTCGAGAATATGATGCGTTTTTTACGAAATTTCTTTAGACTTTATGTAAATAAAGCGCAGGTCCGAATAGTGACTATTGAACGTAAATTAGTTGCTCTTATTTTCCTTGATGTAAATCTCTGTGCCTTTAAGCCTTATACAGCAGTGAAGAAGATTCTCTTAATACAATCTACTAGATTTTTTTTCTTTTAAGTAAGTAGCGTTCATTCTGTACATGAGATAAATTCCTGCAAGGTCGAGCTCTCTCAATCGCGTTTTTGTCACAATCACCAGTACAATGATTTTTTCTCGAAAATACATGTAGTCGCTATTTGGACCTGCGATTTGTTCTTTACTTTAAGTTTTTTATTTTATTTCATTATCAAAGAAAAAATGCGTATGAAATTTGTACGCAACTAAATTGCACAGCGCGCAGTAATATATTGATTATTTATAGAGTCGTGACGCGGTTCAATACACAATTTATAGCCGTCATTTTGGGAAATGCTGGTAAATGCAATCAGAAATTTTGGATTTATATACATTTCTTCACCTGTCATTATCTATCTACAGTTGATTCAAGAATATTTAAAAGAGTGGTCTAATAAATATCTAAGTCTAAATATAAGTAATAATGTTTTCTAGTGCAATTTTATTTACTTAAACTTTCAGTCACACGGCCGACATCACGACCAATTTAAGTCAACTTCGAACTGTTCTGTTAAAAATACTGATAAAACTTCTCTCTAAACAATGAATCACAAACAATGTTGATTTTTTTATTTTTCCACTTTAATCGCTCATTCACTGTCTGAGTTGTTTAAACTACGAATACGTTTCCATCGCATTGGACCAACATCTGGGGGCCTGTCCGAAAAATCGCTCGCTGGTACTTGCTGACAATTATTTTATAAGGCAGTCTGATTATGGTTTTGGGAATTATGCAGTTGAAATGTTACAGGGCCATTGAAAGTGATACCTGTTATCAAATGGGGATGGCCATGGTGATATTGAAGACCTGTTGTCATTTGGCGAAAGTGAGATTGGTGTGAGGCATGATTTGATGGTTTTGAT